TTAGTAAATGGAAGAAAATCTTGCCAATTTGTTTGAAGAGACACTATGATCTCACTGTGTTGATCATTTTTAAGCCAGCTCAATTCCTGAATAGAATGGCAGGCCAGAGTTTCTTAACATGGGCCAGCATCTTAGCGTGAGTGTATGAAGACACTATGCATTGTTCTGGATGAAGGGAACAAACCACTAAGATATAAATTAGAGCGAGTGGCTAGACAAAGATGATCTCTCCCTCCGGCAAGTGATCATCTTTTCAAAACCAATGACCTGATGTGCATGCACATTCTAAAATTTATAATCTTTACTGACATTTTAATCTTAATAATAACCCACCATATTTGCATTCACATGCTTTCACATATATAAAAAGATCTCTGAAAGGACAGACCTTCTAAGGAAATGGTTTCAATTCGATTTAAACTCACTTGGGAAAATTGCATTAAGAAACTCTATTTCTTCCTGGAAATTCCGGTGTGGGTACCCTTGGTGAGACGGCTTCATGAAATTCTTACGAGAATAAAAGAAGCTCTGAAAAAGACAAGTAACTTTATATGTAGGATTCTATCACCTTTCCTAGTCAACAATTTTTTGCACGTGTATACCAAAATCAAATCTATCAGTATTTCCTCCAATGAAATTTAACATATTTTCCCTTTAATATGTTTAAAAGGTAAGTGGTCTTTTGCTGGCCAATAAACAAAAAATGAAGGCCACTGCATCAGAGCAAGGTTCCAGACCAACATCTATGATAGAGTGTTACACAGGGCAACTTTAAGCTGTGGAGAAGAATCTTAAGAAAGCATTACGAATGCAGATCACATCTGTTGAGTTTCTGGAAACTAAAAAAATACCAATCTACTCATGATGGTCACAACAACTGTAGAGACAAGGTACATTAATTATTTCTGGAGCAGTTATTTAAGCTCTGAGATTTTAAATAGGAATGGAAGCAATAATTTGAGAACATGTGTACATTTAGTTTGGAGAGTCAGTGATTACCCACTACAACTAAGCAGTAAATATACAAATTTATTTACTAGGCATATGTGTATCACAGAGCCCTAATGTTTGCCTGGAGGGGAAAAAAAAAAAAAGATTAGGTGTTTGGTTACTTACTTGAATTGAATCGAACCCACTGTAATCCCTAGCAAGTTTCAACAGGGGAACCAGTGCTTTCAGCAAGAGGGTGGTACCACATGTCTTCAAAATGAAACGTCTCTTGGAGACAAACATGCTACTCTCACTGCATTTGGAAAAAGTCACAATGTTATAATGAGGTTTATGTATTACTGAGATGCAATTAATCTATTATTATTTACAATGTAAAATCTGGCTATTAGTTTTAAATGTGAAGATCTGAAGGAAGCAAAGAAAGGCACTACAGTATTCCTCTCTATTATAGAGAACTCCAAATTTAAGGTTCCGGAACCCAAAGAAAGGCCTTGTATTAGGCATAAAACATACTAGTTCATTACACAAACTCTCTTCTACTACTAAACTTTCCTCCTCACCTCACCTATCTTAGCATTATTATTTACTGACGTCATACTTTACTTCAGCTTGTAGCACGGACTCTCCCAAGTATTTCTGTAAACATTTCATTACTTCTTTTACTAGATAATAAACTCCATGAGGAAAGAAATTTGTTTTTACTCACCATTATATTCCTAGGGCCTGGCACATCATAAGCTTAGTAATTAACCAGGCACTTTATGCAACCATGTTAAATACCGTACCTGCAAGGCCCATTATAATATGTATAAGAAACAAATGTTTTTACTGGGGTGCCTGGGTGGCTCCACTGGTTAAGTGTCTGCCTTCAGCTCAGGTCATGATCTCAGGGTCCTGGGATGGAGCCCTGCGTTGGGCTCCCTGATTAGAGGTGGGGAGTCTGCTTCTCCCTCTCCCTCTGCCCCCACCCCCTTTCACAGTAAAAAAAAAAATGAAACAAGCAAACAAAAAAACCCAATGTTTTTATTGGATAAATTAGCTTTGTACCTATAAACATGTTGAATGGCTTTCTTCTATACACTGCAGACATTTTGTTTTATACTATTATTTCTCAAAGTAAGGTAAAAATGATTATAGTACTGGGATCCAGAAGAACAATTTGCTATTCCATGCAAAGTATGATTCAGACTGAAATCAGGTCGCTAACACCTGTTTTGGCAGGACTTACCTGAGTACATAAGCTTCCTGCTTGTCAGTTTTTGTCACACTTATGATTGAACATTGCACATCCTTCAGAAGAATGTCCCATTCAGATCTATTATTCAACAACAAAAAAGATGATTAAGTCATAACAGTACTTGCCTACTTGAATAAAAATTGTAAAGCTTTTACAATTTGGTGTTCTAACACAATTTACACCCTGCATTTTATAAATTTTTATCACATTTTTGTTCCAGCTTCCGGTAACATTTAATTTTATTTCAAAAGCCTGCCTATATTGACATATCCACCAACTAACAGAGAGCAAACTGGAAAACTGGAAATTTTAAGGTACTTGCAATTTACTAAGAAAAAACAAATGACGAAATGAGTAAGCCAAGCACAGAGGAAATTTAAGCCCACAAACCAAGGACAATCATTATCTTTCACCAACAAGCAAGCAAAGAAGTAAGTCAAAATGAGTCCTTTTTTGTCTATCAAATATTCTTTTGTATTAAAAATCAAGCACAGGGACACCTGGCTGGCTCAGCCAGTAGAGCATGCAACACTATCTCAGGGCTGTGAATTCAAGCTCCATGTTGGGTATAAAGGAAACTTAAAAAAAAAAAAAATAAAAATAAAAAAATAAAAAACCAAAAAACCCAAACAAAACAAAACAAAACAAAAAAACCACAAAAACAAAACCCCACAAGCATAGTACCAGTCAATCCTGCTAACATTTTGTGCCTGTTTCATCATTTTCTTTTTTTTTTTTTTTAAGATTTTTATTTATTTATTTGACAGAGAGAGAGATCACAAGCAGGCAGAGAGAGAGGAAGGGAAACAGGCTCCCTGCTGAGCAGAGGGCCCGATGCGGGGCTCGATCCCAGGACGCTGGGATCACGACCTGAGCGCAAGTCAGAGGCTTAAACCACTGAGCCACCCAGGTGCCCTGTTTCATCATTTTCTAAAAGAAAATTATATGACTAATCACAGAAGGCCATAATTCCTATGTTGGGTAAATTGGTTAAATTGAACAGTACTGAGACCTACCTGAAAAAACTTAGATTAGTTAGGCTTGCTAATGATTTCAAGATTTTATTTATTTATTTGAGAGACAGTGCCCGCACGAGTGCACATGAAGGGGGGTGGGCAGGTCAGAGGGAGAAGCAGACTCCCTGATGAGCTAGAAGGAGCACAATGACGGACTGATCCTGGGACTCCAGGATCATGACCTGTGCCGAAGGCAGTCACTTAAACCAACTGAGCCACCCAGGTGCCCTAGGCTTGCTTATGATTATAGAGCCTATTTGCCTAAAACTTTATCAAGGAGTTTTTAAAATCTATTTTTATTTTTGGGGCACCTGGGTGGTTGGTTAAGCATATGCCTTTGGCTCAGGTTGTAATTCCAGGATCCTGGGATTGAGCCTTACACTCCATTCCCTGCTTAGCAGGGAGCCTGCTTTTCCCTCTCCAGCTCCCCCTGTTTGTGCTGTCAAATAAATAAAATCTAAAAAAAGATTTAAATTTATTTTTACTTTTAAGAGATGGAAAGTGGGAGGAGAGGGGGGAGAAACAGTGAGAATGATTTCAAGCAGACTCCCCACTGAGTGTGGAGCCCAACACAGGGCTTGATCTCACAACCCTGAGATCATTACCTGAGCCAAAAATCAAGAGTCACACACTTAACTGACTGAATCACCCAAAAGCCCCTGCCAAGCAATTTTTAATAGAGCTAATAATTAGCTCTCTTTTAAAAAGGTGCCAACGGTTTATGTTAAAGAAAAAGATACACATTTGGGGTACCTGGGTGGCTCAGTTGGTTGGGCGACTGCCTTCAGGTCAGGTATGATCCTGGAGTCCCAGGATCTAGTCCCACAATGGGCTCCTTGCTCTGCCAGAGTTGGCTTCTTCCTCTGACCCTCCCCCTTCTCAGCCTATCTCATTCTCTCTCAAAGAAATAAATAAAATCTTTAAAAGAAAAAAAAAATACACAATAGAGTGGGCCATACATTGGCAGTTTGTTTCAAAAATTTTTTAAAGATTTTATTTATTTACCTGATAGAGACACAGCTAGAGAGGGAACACAAGCAGGGGGAGTGGGAGGAGAAGCAGGCTTCCTGCCAAGTAGGGAGCCCGATGGGGGGTTTGATCCCGGGACCCCAGAACATGACCTGAGCTGAAGGCAGATGCTTAATGACTGAGCCACCCAGGCGCCCTGTTTCAAGTTTTTTAAATTATACAATTTGTTGTTTAGGAAGAAAAAAAGTTACAATTAAGACGCAGTTCTGAGCAACACAAACTGTTATTTTAATCCTCTTATTGTAGGTGGTCATGCAATAGCTTGGCCTTTCCTATTTCTAAGACTCAAAGTTCACTAATGTATGAACATTTCAGAACCCACTGTATTTCAATTCCACAAATGGTATCTTTAATGGAAAAAAAAAAAGGAATAATGGGGCTCTAAAAGAAACTACTGCTTTTCTGCTTTGTGACATTTCTTCTTTTTTTTTTTTTTTAAGATGCTATTTATTTGACAGTGAGTGAGACGGAGAGCAAAGCCAGAGGAGCAAGAAAGGGAAAGGGAGAAGCAGGTTCCCTGCTGAGCAGGGAGCCTGGTGAGGGGGGCTCGATCCCAGGACCCTGTGATCATGACCTGAGCCAAAGGCAGCCGCTTTAACCGACGGAGCCACTCAGGTGGCCAACTCTGTGACATTTCTTGCAATTAATGGTCTCTAGGCTTGCTTTCTTTATACCTGGCCGGCAATTAAAACCTACTTCACATGACTGATAAAGATTAAATTACATAATGCATACAAAATTTACCTACCTGATGGAAAGAATTTAAGCACTGGATACATAGGTAAGTAATAAAATTACGGGGTCTCTCTTTAGAGCTTATCTAATTCAGATCTTACCTAATAACTTCTCACTAGAATTCAGCATTCTTGCAAATATTCTCTTCCACCCACTGGAAACGCTACCTCCTCAGTTATATTCACTATTCATGCAGACTCCTTCAACCCGTTTTATAACTGACATACATCACTCTAAGCTTAAGGTACACAGCACAATGGTTTGACTTACACTTTTGTGAAATGATTACCACAGAAAGTTTAGTTAGGATCCTTTATCTCACATCTACAATAAAAGAAGAAAGCAAAGGGGCGCCTGGGTGGCGCAGGGGGTTAAAGCCTTGGTCTTCGGCTCAGGTCATGATCCCAAGGTCCTGGGACCGAGCCCTGCATCTAGCCCAGCCCTGCATCGGGCTCTCTGCTTCACCAGGAAAGACTGCTTCCTGCCCCCCTGCCTACTTGTGATCTCTATCGAATAAATAAATAAAATCTTAAAAAAAAAAAAAAAAAAAAAAAAAGCAAGCAGTAAAAGAAAACCTTCCCACTATGAGAACTCTTGGGATTTTATTCTCTTAACTTTCACTCATATAGCAGTGTTAATAGTATATTAAGACTTTTAGTAATGCTCTGTAACTTTTTCTTTCTTGAACTTTTCCTCTGGATTTAAAAGCTATTTTGCTTCTTCATTTGCTTTGGTTTTCTATGCATTAATTTATCCTCAGATGTTCCCCCAACTGTTTCAACATTTCTTTTGAGTGATTCTTGGCCAAGATTAAGGTACTAAGACTTAGCTAGCCAGAAAGTCTAACATGGACGGGGCTTGTTTACTGTGGGGCTCTATACAGGGCAATGGGGAACTCCCTCCTTATCACGATTTTTTTTTTTTTTTTTTTAAAGTTCTTTCCTGGGCAGGTCAGATTATCCAAACATTCCATTCTCTTGCCTAGAGAACATTAAGATTTCTGGTAGGCAAAAGAGGGTAAAGAGCTAAGGACCTCATTCATTATAAGCTTTTATTCTTTGTTTTCAGTATAGTCACTCTACCCTTCAACACTACCTGGTCCCCTCACTTCAGAGAGATCTTTTTGTACTCCCAAAGAATAAATTATTATCTAATGTTCAATTCTCTTGGCATCCCCCTTTTCACCTGACTCAGACAAATTTTATAATATAAAGACAATCAGAAGAACAGCTGATATACATAAAACACACACTGATGAATATACAGGTAACTACCTCTATCCCCATATCCTGTATTTCAGTCATATGGGGCTTTTCCACCAACTCTTTTCTCCCTAGAACAGGGCACCATAAATTTATTCACCTAAATTAAGCCGAACAAGAGTGAAAGAGACAACACATACACTTTGTTCTGGGTACTGCTGGAATGGATTTCACTCTACCTACAACCTGTCCTCAGCACCCTTCATCTAGCTCAAGTCACCTTACTATTCCCACCAACGATCTTTTCATGCAAAGATTTTAATACTCAGCTTACCGAAGAATTTCATTTGTGTGGCTATTTTGGTATTCATGCAAATCCCACAAAAGTCATTCCATATAGTTAGGGAGTTTGTGTTTTATTGTTTTTATCTGCAGTGCCTAGTCCAGTTCAAAAGAGGCCCTCAAGTAAGTATTTGCTGAATCTGGCAATAATTATTCTGATTAAATCTTACGGACATTTGGGAAATAACGAACAGCCTTAAAACTTTTGTTTTTGGGGGCACCTGGGTGGCTCAGTTGTTGAGCATCTGCCTTCGGCTCAGGTCATGATCCCAGGACCCTGGGATCGAGCCCCACATTGGGCTTCCTGCTTCGCGGGAAGCCTGCTTCTACCTTTCCCTCTCCTACTCCCCTGCTTGTGTACCCTCTCTCACTGTCTCTGTCAAATAAATAAACAAAATCTTAAAAAAAAAACAAAACAGCTTTTGTTTTTTGTTATTTTTAAAAGTAATCTCTGGGGCTTGAACCCACAACCAAGATCAAAAGTCACATGCTCTGACTGAGCCAGTCAGGCGCCCCATACAGCCTTAAAATTTTTAGATCTAAAATTGTTACATGCTCCTCTACTGTTTGGGACCTGTGGGACTATTTGCTGCCCCTAATCTTTTTTTTGCGTTCAACATGTTCAGAATGGATAATTCCTACTGATCTATCTTCAAGTTCACTCACTCTTCTGTCATCTCCAATCTACTAGAGCCTGCCCAGGAAACTTTTTATATCAGTAGTTATTTTCCGGTTCCATCTTCTATTTCTCTAAGCCTTTGTCTTTTCCTTTTAAGAGTGTTCACTCTTCTTATAGAATGGTTATGGACAGCTGTTTGTAAAGCTTTACCTACAATCACCTTGAGGTTGTCTTTTTCCTTTGAGGGATGCTGAAAACTTCTCATTCATAAATTGAGCAATTTATGATTGCATCCTGAACATTTTGATGTTATGTAATTCTAAATCTTGTTTAAATCCTGAGGAGCATTTTGATTTTTAAAAGTTTTAGCAGGCAGTTGGAATGCTTACGTTCAGTCTTCAAGTTTTTTATCCAGCTTCTCTGGGTTATATTATGGTTCCAGCTTAGTTATGAAAGCTCTTGCCATGGTATTCAGATCTGTCCTGCTTTTGTGTCACCCACTGGCCAGACTGGGACTGCAAGGTGATCTATCAGTTTTCAAAAGCTTTTGATATACTGTTTATGACCAGATCTATACAGGAGCAGCTCAGTGGTATTTATACAAATCTTTATGGGATCACTTACTTCACCTCTCTCCTTCCCATAATCTTGGCTCCTCTGGCTAGAAACCCAAGGCTTTAGTTTGTCCACCTGCAGTAGGCTGCCTGTGACTATCTGTAACTTGGTTTACAAAAAGGGAAAAGAGCAGTAGGAATATCCATGATGCTCTTCACTCTTGGGACCACAGTGCCTCTGGTCAAAAAGCAGTTTCCCCCTCCTACACCCAGAGTGTTAGGTATCTGTCTGGCCACCACAACTGTTACAGGGCTGCCTGCGCTGTGGGCAAGAACACACACACACAGCAAAGCAATAAAAAAAAACAAAAAAGGGATTTTCCCTACTCTCTCTGACCCAAAGGAGCCAGCCCCCTTTCCTTCTCTGCAGACCAGAAAAAGAGGACCTCTCCTGGGACCACTTTTGTCTGAAACTAGTGTGCAGTTACCAGCTTCTGGCAGCTTTTCAGACACCCCAAGAGATAACCAAAGAGGGGGCGGGGGGGGGGCGAAGAAATGGGAAATCACAGTTGTTTCAGTGGTATTTTGAGTTATGGTTTCCTTAAATTCACCTGCCAACATTTACTTTTCAAAGTCCTCAGCTGTCCCATGCACTCTGCCCAAGGTTTTTAGTAAATCCAAAAGAAAGCAGTGTGCTTATTCCATCCTGAGGAAAACCAAAATGCTCCTGCACTCATTCACCAATAGTTAATAAATTTTGCAACCAAACTCTTCCTCACCTTAAAAAAAAAAAAACCCTTCCTCTGGGGCGCCTGGGTGGCTTAGTGGGTTAAAGCCTCTGCCTTTGGCTCAGGTCATGATCCCAGGGTCGTGGGATTGAGCCCCATATCGGGCTCTCTGCTCAGCAGGGAGCCTGCTTCTCTTCCTCTCTCTCTGCCTGCCTCTCTGCCTACTTGTGACCTCTGTCAAATAAATAAAATCTCAAAAAAAAAAAAATCCTCTAGTATTTTTTCGAAGTCACAGTATGAAAGAATGCAGCTGTTTTAAAACACCTTAAAACACAGCTAAATGATCAACCAAAAACACAGCATCAGGAGAACCAATAGGCTCGAAAAAAGAATAAATCCAGGGGCAAGATGTGAGAGAAAACCGAAAAAGCCAATACAATGCTATACATATATATAAAGTTGAAAAACCAACATCAAAAACAGCAGAGAATTTCAGCTTATTATTTTATCACATTTTTTTCAGGAAAATAAGCCTCCTTTTGCAAATAAAGCTTTACGGGATCATAGCCACACCCAAATCATGGTAAATATCCCCCTCTCCAAAATAGGATGCTCTTTACCACCAACAGTACACGGACTGAATAATACTAGGTCACCATGCCAGAAAGCAAAACATTAACAGTATAGTGTATTTGAAGTTTTCTTAAAGAATCTGTGATTTAATAAAAACATAGTTAAGCTGGAACATTTACAAGGGAAAAGATACACTAAGATGACAGACTTCTAGGTCATGTGATTCAACAAAACCCAAAATGGACAAATGACCTTCAAATAAAGGTGCCCTGAGTACAAAATTGGGGAGTAGGGTGGGTAGGGAGCCACTGAACAGTGGTAAGAAAACTGGATGACTACACAAAAGAATGAGGTTGTATCCTTACACCATCTACAAAAAATAATACAATAAAGACCAAAATTAAGACCGACCTAGGACATAGGGAAAGCTTCAGGACACTGGATCTGGCAATACTTTCTTGGATAGGACACAAAAAAGAACAGCCAAAAGGACAAAAGCAGACAAAAGGGACTATACTACACCAAACTTAACTTTTGCACATCACAGGAAAGTACTAAAAGGAGAAAATACTTGTAAATCATATAGGTGATAAAAGGTAAATATCCAGAATATTTAAGGAACTTCCCCAAGAACAAAAACAAATAACTCAACAGGGCACATGGCTATTTAAGTAGGTGGGAGTGTGGGACTCTTAAAACGGGGTTGTGAGTTCAAGCCCCACGCTGGTTACAGAGGTTACTTAAAAATCTTAAAATAAGTAACTAAATAAATTAACCCCATTAAAAAACTGACAAAGGACTTGAATAGACAGTTTTCTAAAAACAGCCAACAAGCATATGTAAAGATGCTCAAATCACATAGTTAAGAGAAATGCCAATCAAAACCATGAAATAACACCTCACATCCAGTAGGATGTCTACTATTAAAAATACAAGTTTTGGCATAGATATGGAGAAATTTTAACATCTGTGCATCACTGGTGAAAGTATCAAATAGTAAAGCCATTACAGAAAATAGTATGGACATTCCTCAAAACCTTGAAGATAGAATATACCATGACCGATCCAGCAATTCCACTTCTGGGTACACATCCAAAAGAATTCAAAACAAAGGTCTGGAAGAGGTATTTGTACACCCATGTTGTCATTCACAACTGTCAGGAGATGAAGAAACCTAAATGTCTACCAAAGGATTACTAGATAAATAAAATGTTATATATACATACAACACGGATGAATCTTGAGAACCTTGAAATAAGCTACATGAAATAAGCCAGTCATGAACGGTCAAATACTGACTGTATGATTCCATTTATGAGGTACTCACACTCCTATGGAGTACCTAATAAAGCAGTCAAAATCCTAAAGGAAGATGGTTGCCAAGGACTCGGGGAAGAGGAAAGGGGCAATTAATGGGTATAGTTTCAGTTTTGTAAGATGAAAAAGTTCTAGATACCTGTTGCACAGCAATGTGACTATACTTAGAATACTACTCACTTAAAAATGGTTAAAAATGTTAGTTTTTTTTTTTTTTTTTAAGATTTTATTTATTTATTTGAGCGTGCACATACAAGCAGGGTGAGCAGCCGGCAGGAGAAGCAGGCTGCTTGTGGGATCCCACAACTCCAGGATCATGATCTACTGAGCCACCCAGGAGTTCCAGTGTTCAGATTCTTTCAAATCAGTTTTACAAAGTAAATGTCTATGGAACAATGCTGCTGGCAGGTGGAAGAAATCCGTCAGAGTAATCACTCTCATCACCTGATGAGTTGGATCCTTGGTAGAACATACCAGTAGGTCAGTAGGTCAGATCCAGTAGGTCAGACATGCTGCAAATGGTGCCCAGAAATCTGCATTTAAAAGGTTTCCATGCGAATAAAAACTGCTGGTTTCAGGGTTACCAAGTAATTTACCCAAAAGTCACACAACTACATGAAGTTTCCATGAGCTGTGACCTTAGGTTAATAGCTTGATCTGTCTGTTTTAGAGACTTTTCCCTTACCAC